CGTTGAAACGTATTCTGCGAAACGGGTATGCAGGACTGTACGATACGGATATCGGTTTCTATTAGGAGCAAATGCCAAAACCGATATTCGTTTTGTAAGCTACGGATTTTTTTTAGAGAGTACGCTTTTACGTCACATCCTTTTATGTCATTTTGAAAGTTTTCAATGGAAACTGGACGGACTTTCGACACTGTAAAATTTCGAGTGAAAAATTTTCGACAGACTAAAAATTCGATAGATTTTTCGCTCGAAATTTGACAACGTCGAAACACGCTGTTGAACTGCGAAATTACCTGTTATACACAGCGCCACCCGCGAGATCGCCGTATGTGGAGGAAAAGTATGTAATCAGACTAGGATTCGAATCCAGGACCCGATCTTGATCTGATAATAAAAGCCAAACATTCTTTAGAGATTACTTTAAATATTTACCACATTTGAAATCTTCTATGAGTATTTTGCATATTTCTTTGCAATGATGAGCAGCCGCATAATGTAATGGGGTATAATATTTGGAATTGAGTGTTTCTATCTTTTTTCTTATTTGTTCATTTGATAAACCATTTTGTTCCTTCCATTTTGACAGTTTATTAATGAAAAATTGGGAGTTTTTATCATCACAAGCAGCCTTGAATAAATAAATTGAAGCTAATATATATTATTTCAATTTACCAAAAAAAGAATTTTTCTATACTAAACCATAAGTAAGTTGAGAACTACAGTCAACAGTTTTTGTACTCTCTCTAGTTTTTCAAAACCCTAATCATAAACAGTCGTTAGAAATCGATGTAATAAATTAGCGATATAATATCGTTCACAGTCAGCAACACAAATGAAAATGGTTGACAATACTTGTGTGAAGAGAAAGACAGTTATTATTCTCATCCTACTCAGCTAAGGTCTTCATAAAGATTGGGAAAGTTTTGTATTCAACCAATTTCGTTTTAGAATCAATAAATAGACTTTGCATTGGCTTTGCATAACGTCTCGCCCTTTGTGTATTGCAAACCAAGCATTAATTTTCAAAACGAAAACCACAGACAATATTTCTCATGTTCAACAGTAATGGAAATTTCAGCTATAACTGTGGCATAATTCGGACTCATAGGCAGGAGTACAAGTTTTACTATTTTTAACTGCTGTAAACTCTACAAATGCGAGATGACTCGCTTTTTAAGGTTGGTGCTAGCAAGACGTTTGTCATGACGCATTGGGATCATTCATTTCTGAAAATTTTGTTACTTGATAATAAGCCATTTTTTAGAAACACGGACAGCAAGATGTTCTTCAGTCATAAATTTGTCTTAGCGAGATTAGTCCATAAGAAATGATATTAACGTAATTACCTTATGTAATGACTTTACTTCTCTGGTTTCCTCTTGTTCATCATCGACATTTTGTTCTTCATCTTCACCTCCATCTTTATCTGCGTTATTTGCTTCTACTGTCACTTGTTGTTGACTCGTACCACCTCCACCATTACGCTGCATTGTATTCCGTTGTTCTTGCTGATTATATATTGTTTTGTCATAGCCTAATGGTAATCTTATATCTTTTGTAGTACTCATGAGCAATTGTTTCATATACATGCGTTTTTTGGTTATTTTGTAACTAAAATCAATTAGTATTAAACGAAAATTGGCTGACTTTTTACTATTTCGTTTCCTTCTTTTGGGAGTTTTTCTTGTTACATTACTATCATGCGGCAACCTTTTTATTTTTATTGTATGCGAAAGCTTTCAAACAAATGTATCTAATAAAAGTTATAAAAAACGCTGATTAAAAACATAGTTGAAGAAAAAAAACCATTACTGTAGTTAACCAAACACAAAAACTCAAACTTCAAAATTAATATTTGATTGCGCTTTTCTAAAAATTTTATATATCTTGAGCTTCAATAAACTAATGAAAGAATAACAGAGAAGCTCGACAGTCTTTGACTTCATTGTGCAAAATGTGGCTTCACCCTCAGAATACAGAAAAAGGCAATTATAAACGCTTTGTTAACAACCATCTCCAATACACGTTACCAGACTCATCCAGTTTAACAAAATAACGTCAATACTGGTCAGATCTGCATGATAGTGAAAGAAAAACTAAATATTTTCGTTGCCGATTAGATCAGTATAAAATAAACTGCGTGAATTACCCAAACTTTTCCGCTCATAAAAGGAAAAAATGACGGAAACCGTAAGGAATCTGACCATTCTTTTTAAAAAATTTCAAAACAATCTCACTAAGATAACTTTTCTATAGGAAAGAAGTGCTTCTTTGCGAACGTATACGAAAACAATTTCATGTTTTGGGTCTAGTTCGGATCACAGTTAAAAAATTTTCGGATCCGTTCGGATCGTGTCGGGTTCGGATCAACATATAATGTATTGATTTGGATCGGATCGGGTTCGGGTCGGTCCGTAAGGAAATATGACCTCTGCTCTTACTGCTTATTCACTGTTACCCTTCTCCAGCAATAACTCATCTTCCTCTTCCTGTTGCGTGTTGACTTCCTGTGCGTATGTCACTCTCTATTCACCTTATATCACTCTCCCATTATTCATTTCTCAGTCTGTCACATTCTTTCTCCTCTGATTGTTCCGTACATACATTCACTCTTTCTTTATACGTGTTTAATATTTCTCTCTCATTGTTCGTTCGGTCATTCACTCTCTCTCTGTCCACTGCACTATAAACACTCATTATACAGCACCTACTTTTCAGTCTGTTTTAGAATAAACTCGATAAACGTATCGTTTTCATTTGGCAATCTTGCCCCGGCAAATTTACTGTGAATCCCCGATCGTATATCAAGTTATGATATTTCTGTGTACGTACTTGTATACCTCTTACGTTAGTACTTGTTTAGAAGTGACGTTACTGTCACTAGTGCTGCTTCTGCCTTCTCTAAAGCAGTCATGAATCTGTGATCGTATATCAGGTTATTTGTTTTTTCAAGTGCGGACACTTGTATACATCTTACTCTTAGTATTTTGTTATTTAAGGTGAAATATTCGAGCGTAATTCGGTATGTCATTGCTTTTTATTACGCACTTTCACGTATTGAGTGTTCGCTCAAATCATTGGTGAACGCTTACCCTAGATTTCCAACTGTCTTTACTATTGTCCTTATTTGTCTTCGGATGAACTATACTCATGGTCAATAGTCGTTCGTCAGGTTTCGTCTACTTTTTACCAAATACCTTGCTGGTTTACTTCTATTTGCACAAAATTAAAAACTTATGAAGAATAGTCACCCTGCAAAAACCTGCACACTGCAAATCTACAATATGCGACTTCTATGAACTACAGTGCGTACTGGCCTGGTACGCCGACTATAGAAAAATCTTCTCGTTCACATAATCATCTCACTTCCACATAAACAGGGCTGTCTGTAACAGCTCTCGTCAATTATAAAATATGTGTCTATCTTGAACGAGCAAGAAATGTTATGTGTGGGTGACCATGTAATTTTTCCATGGATTAATGGCGAATCGTAGCAAGCAGTAATTGTTGATGAACTAATATGTGAGGATACATATCTTGTGAACTTTCGCGATTCAGAAATCGAATGTCAAGTGTCTCCCAGAAAACATGTTCAATTAGACAAGGAATGGAAGTTATGCATTAGCGAATTAATTGAAATATATAAAACATCATGGAACGAAAAAGAAAACGGCAACTGATGAGGACAAATATAAACGCGTACCGCATAATACCGCCTAAACATAGCGGTACTACTACATTTCATCGACAACACCTGCAGTACGTAGAGTTATATTATCAGTTGATATTATCGAATACTCTTCAACTACCAACGAAAGAACGAATCGTATCTCCACATTTTAATGTGCCAGAATTTCTATCGAGCTGGCCAGACGGTAGAAAATAGTGGGATGATCTCGAGATGAAACATTGTGATGACTGCACCTTACCTAAGCCACAAACACTCATCGTCTCTTCCACAACATCAGCGGTCCCTGTTCAGAGCGTCTTTGTACCGCAGTCACAACTTGCCCTTCACAGTCACGATGGGGTTTTATCATCTGGAAAGATTGATCGAATTCTCCTCAAACACATTTAAACGAGTCTCATCTTGTCCTGAAATACCGGAACCTGTCCTATCGTGCATTTTAATATCAAAAGCATATCCATCTTGCTCTCAGCCACTCGAGCTGAATGAGTGTTCTCCTCAGTCATTAAAAGTCAATGACCCGTCTGTAGAACTAGTTGAGCAAAATGACTTTTCTGCTCGTATGTCAATGGAGGATCACTATTCTTCAAAAGCAACGCACACAGAACGGCAAGCATCTTCCGTCATCATCGGATTCTATTTTACTAGCTGTAGATACTACTAAAATTGCAATCCGTGAGCCTCTACCAGTAGTTACGCAAGAATATGAATGCCTCACACTTGAAATTATATGCATGCACAGTGAACTATATACCTAAAAGATCAACCGTCTGGAAGCACCAAAGTCTGCCCTAGAACAGAAAGTAAAACTGCTTCACTTTCAAGGTTAAGCGATGAATGTTTCATTAATCATTTACCTGATCGTAATTCCGCTGATCTTACCGAAGGAAAAACGTCTTGCATCATGCAGAGACAAAAGGTCACAAAACCCAAAACATCTAAAAGAAAAAGAGATCAGCACAAATAGGTCATGAGAATATACTAAAAATCCTTATAGGTGTGATTCCCCCCTTATCACAACAGCAGTATTAGCTCCGCTAGCTCTGTTCATATTCATTAGAAAATTTGGTGCTTGCTCCGCGCTGAACGAAATTGGATAAAAAAACCAGATGCAAAATTTGTCGGTGAATCCGATAGCGGGTTACTTATAATTACATCTTCACTTCTTTTCGGGCGTCGACATCAACGTGGTTTTTGCCTAAATTTTATTTTTCCCATTGGCACCTTTTTTTCAACCAATGAGAAAAATAACATTAGGCAAAAACCACGTTGATGTCGACGCCCGAAAAGAAGTGAAGATGTAATTATAAGGAACCCGCTGTCGGATTCACCGACAAATTTTGCATCTGGCGCCCAATTGTTTTTCAATTTGATTCAGCGCGGAGCAAGCATCAAATTTTCTAATGTATTCTTAGCATTAAGCTACCTACAAAAACCTGTGTCTTCCACTATACATTTCTAAGAAGTACAAGTTAAATCATCTTGTTTGACGCAAATTTTCGGCCTTTCTCAAAACTTATTTTCAGTACATCTATCAACTATCAGTCTACTCCCTGTATCTGTGCATTGAAAATGGAAGGATAATTAGTTCGAAATACATTTAACAGAATCACAGATAGGGACTATTGCACTCATGGCTTTTGAAAATTCAAGATAACGATTCAGACCTCTTCCATACGTCCCGTATAACGGTTCGTCTATCACTCTTACGACTATACCGATTTAATTATTCTTCATAATATGAATTCCTAATTATTCCACTGATATATAAATAAACCAATTGAACTAATTGTATATCTTATTTCTAATTTAAACTGTTTTCTGATTATGTCACTGGTCAATCGAATGAAGCTGTTAATATTTCAATTTGTTTCACACAGTAACATTCGTACTATAGTAGACATTTATTTGTTGTATGCATGATGCTACTTAGTGTCACTCGTTGGCATAACACAGCAACAGCGTGGGACTTTTTAGAGGAAAATAAAATAATGTAAACAGCTGATACACCAACTATACAATTTTCACATCGTACAAATTCACAGCGTCTGCTTCTTTCTTTTTCCTCCTTTTCCGATCGGTAAAAACTAATACAAACAGAAAACACATGACGCATGTTTTGTATTAAAATCCGTAGTATGTCTCTCATACCTCGACACAAAATAGCTGACTACAGTCTTCTCCTTTGATGACTCTTACGGAAATTTCTACTTCGTGTGTCACTTATATTACTTGCTTTTCTCTGTGTCTCGATGAGTCAGAGACGTCTTGCCGAACATCTCTCGCCAAAATCTGTTCTAATTGATATTTCCACATCAAAACCATATATCTGGCTTCCTTATCGAAATTTATAGATGCCACGCGGTATTCGAACTAAAAAGCCGCCAAGATACCTGACTCGAATAAATTCTTTTTTTCCGTATATTTTCTCATCGTCTATTGTCTGCATTTATGAAACTTTTCAGCACGTCAGTTATGAATACTTCAGCACATATTTTGCATTTCGTCTATTATACTTTTTATTTAAGTCGAGTCCGGATCACGTTTGGTTGACCCGTTTCAGTCTCTGATGCCTACAACAGACGACTTTTTGAAATTCAGCTCTGCTAATTTTTGACGGTCGTGGCAAGACAATAATCGAAACATGGTGACTCAAGTTTTCTAGAAATTCTTTGTATTCTGTAATTATTTTATGCAGTTGTATAATTGTAAAGTCATCGCTGTTTTCAAGTCTTTCTAAAAGTAAAATGTGTTTAAGCGTGAAAAGGTCTGATCGGACTGAGTTGTCTTTTGGATTATAAGGGTTTTTCACTGTGCTCTTTCTTTTGTCAAGCAAAAGTTTCCACCCAAAGTATCGGAAGTAAGATTTCCAGAAAACTCGGTGTCTTGGTCTATATGTGA